TGGTGGCTACAAGACAATTAGTGAATCAGTTTTCTCCTTTTATCATGTGAGTCATGGAGAACAAACTCAGGTCACCAGCTGGGTTGCAAGTGCCTTACCATCAGTCTATTATGCACATCTTCTTACTGTTTTGAGCCAAAGTCTATGTCGCCCTGGCTGGCCTGGAACTCACAAGATCAACCTGCCACACCAAGTATATTATGCACTTAAAAGTCTAAAGACGAGATGTTTTCAATAAGAATTCTGTTTCCCTAGCATACCTACAGTGCAGTGCAGGAAATAAACTGCATATACCTATAAATGGCAATGTTCTGGTCTAGAACCTCTCCCATCTCTCTAAACCCAGTTTAAGTAACTGTTATTTTCTTTTTGTGGGGGATATTAACAATTTCACTTCCTAAGAATTTTCCCTATGAATTTTAACACAACTTTAAAAACACATCTTTTCACTAGGTCTACTGTGTCACACACTGGCATCCTCTTCACCATCTAGGAAAACTAAGTGCTGTATATTTGGACTTGTTGTCTTCTGTATATAGCACACATTCAACAAAAAAGATGCACAGACAAAGGGACAATGGCTAATCTTGCATTTCCAAAGCTTTCATTAGGATTAGGCTCTTCACACACTGTCTTTGTTCCTCCCTCCCAAACCCGCATAAGTCTATATTGCTCAGAAGTGATCTTAGCATTCCATTTCCAAAAGACAGCATTTCACCACAAGTTTAAACAGGATAATCTACAACATGTATTATTTCCTACATCTATTTTTAACATACTTTGTGCACTTCTAAACACCTAGAAGACTAAGACGTTTTAGATGAGGACAAAAATGCGTCCCCTATTTACAGAGTAGTGTTGAAACCACACACACATAACAATGGGTAGATCTCAAAATATCTTTTGCTAAGAGCATTCTGGTCTCCTATCTCCTCTGTATCACATGACACTGGCACCTAACACTTTCAGAAGACAACCTTGTATGACTGTAACACAGAGTATACAGAATTGGCTAGTTTACTAACTGTACTTTTGTCATACACTGGCATCCCTTTTAATTCCTACAAACTAAAATTAGGACTCCTTTGTCTAATATGTACAATATATACAAAATGAAATGTATATACGGGGTGATGGGTGAGCTAAAACTATCTAGAACACTAATGGAATCTTTTTGCAGTTTCTTCCCCCCACCTCCTCAATGAATCTACCACTAAGATAGCAGTGCAGATGAGGGGAGAGGGAGTGTCCAGGAGGGGATCATGAAACACTGCAACTTGGAAATATGGGGGAATACAACATCTGAAATGGGAGGAGGAGGATAAAGAGGAACAGGAAGAAGAGGAGCTGGAGGAGAAAGTAAAGGAAGGAAGAAAGGAGAAGGAGAAACAATGGAGCAGAGGCCAGAAGGAGGACATGTGCCTTGAGAATGGAAGGCACTTCTGGAAGGCAGCTCTAGCAGACACATTATTATAAGGATGACTTTGGCTACTGTTCAGCTGGAGGCAGTCTCTTCCAGTTTGTGTTTGAATGTTTTTGCATCCCGGTGAAATCAAACCACTCACCCATTTGTTGGTTCTAAAACTGTCTTATTGCAAGTGTTCAAACAAACTAATTCTGGGGACTCTGAGGGCTTTCTAATTTGACCCGAGTACTCCTAAGTCTTGCCATGTTATTTGGAATCTCACACTAAGAAGCATACAGAAGGAAGATGTATGGGCATACTACAGAGAGTCAGGTGGCATTCCAGAATGAATTAATTCTCATTTGCCCCTTGAGAGTATGAATTTCCCTTCTGGCCAAATACAGAAGAAAAGAGCCTTTAACCTAAAAGGTTCACCCAAGTTCAGAGACAGAATTAAGTTGAAGTTCAGTGGCAAGGACAGAATCTTCAGAAGAAAGTAGGGACTAAGCCAACAGAAGGAGTCCCTGCCCTGGCTCACATTCCTGCAGCTCCTTTAGCTCCTAGTGCTGATAAGCCACCAGTCACCACGGACCCACACTGTCACCCAATTAGCTCCACATGTATAAGTTCCACAGAAGAAGAACAACATGAAAATCCAAGGAATATGTCTCCTCCTAAAGATACTAGGCTCATAATCATCAACTCCAATGAGAGTGACTTGTTAGAACTGCCAGATAAAGAATTCAGAAGAATTAATATGACGATGCACAAATGACTCAAAGAGGACATGATTATACTCCAACAACAACAAAAAACTTAATGAAAGAAGAATCAATGCAAAAGTGTGAAAGTAGAATTCAATGAGGGTACAGAATTACTGAAGAAATGCCAAATTTAAACAAAGCTGGAAATGAAAAAATCCAATAAGCCAAGTAAAAACTCCACCAGTAGAATAGATCAGATGGCAAAGAATGTTGGGCCTGAAGGCAAGGTAGAGCAATCAGATTATTCAGTAAATGTCAATGATGAATTGAAAACATTTGAAAAGAACATGAAAAATCTCTGGAACACTATGAAAAGTTCAGATTCTGAGCAGAGCAAGAGAAATATAGTGAAGGAACAAAGAACATTTTCTATAGAATCACAAAAGAAAACTTCACAAACGTAGAGAAAGAGATGCCCATCTAGGTACAAGAGGCCAACAGAACTCTATATAGACAGGACCAAAAAGGGAATTGCCCACAACAGATGATGTCCTCTGACCTAGGAACCAGCAGCTGTAGCAGGGAAGAGAGTGGCTTCACCACTCTTTCCTCTCCCCCACCTCAGGGATGTGACAAGGAGGAAGAAGCTTGAGCCAGCCTCACTGAGTTCATGAGTTCATCTGGCTGGAGAAATACAAGAGGCTGCACAGAAGAGCTCTAGAATATGGATGTGAAATAGATGAAAGGGAATGACTGATAATCGTCAGGAGCTAATTATGTTAACTTCTCCTAGCAGCAATACTGTACCCAAAATTTATGTTAGCCAAACAACTGATAAAAATGGATGAACTCTTTCCACACTGATTTAGAACTTGTTTATGTTTGACTTTCATCTTTTCTTAGTTTTGAACTTACATGATTGCCCAACACTTGCTCTGAACAGGTGACAATAGACTTTCAAAGTGCTTCGCCTTTGCTATTCATTATGGGATGGTGGATCTGGACATTGTGCTGTCCTGTGTCTGTAAAAGGTTTCATTATGTAGATGATAGTGTTTGCAAACCATGAAATCCATTTAAGTGTTGCTCTTGAAAGATCAAGCATGGGAGCTTAGTTCACAGAGGATACAAAGGTCAAATGTAACTGTGGACTTTCTGTTTGGGTAAGGCACAAGTGATATAGCAACTAAGGTGTTTGGGAGAATTCTACAACAGCTTGGGCCTGTACATGCTAAGGAATGAACAAAGATATCTTGTAAAGAATGCAAACAGATGGTCCCTGAAGGTTTAAGATTGTTGAGACTCCAAGTGATAGGGGTGTCATCTCCCAGTGCTTAGGTGGCTCACCTCCTTAAAGCTTTTGATCAGAGGTCACAGAAGACCCTAAAACAATAAAGGTCAATGCCACTGCTCTTGGGTGATTTTTTTCAGAGCTAGATCGTTAGATCCTATTGCTGAATGCATCATATGCTTTGGTTGCAGGCCTTGGGTAAATAAAGCTTGTCTCCACCCTATGAACTATCTTATATGTATCATAAGTTGATACTAAGACTGCCCAGGAGAGTAAAGGTAAAATTCCTAGTAGGTTGCAAATCTTGCATGTTTCATAATTGATGTATAAGGAGAGATCTGCCAGCTCATGCAACAGTAACACGGAGTAGTTAGTTATAGATAGAGCTAACTTTCTGATGTGGTCTGAGGTCCACTCTACAAGGGAAAATTCATTTCTGACATTGGGAAATTGGGCAAAATCTGTTACTAGGGAATTCCGAGGCTCCTATGCAGAAACAACTGATATTGCACTGTTGGGGCTGGGAGTCAGTGTCAAGGGGCAGGCTGCGAAGCACAGGGAGAAAAAAAGTCGACTTCCCTGACTAGCCTGGAGAACCAGGGTGAGGAAAGGACTGCCATGGCTTCCAGTGGTGGTGTCTAGAGTGTTGATCTTTGTCATGAGGCCATCTTGATAACCAAAGGTGGCAATCTCTGTGCTTGGCAGTTATTGTACTGTTCCCAGACACTTGGGACTCTCAGTCTTTGATGTCCAGCCCGCCTCTTTTCTGTGACTGCTTGATACAATTGTTTCTCACCCAGGCACCGCATGCTCAGCCATTTGTTCTTATTTCTTCTTTCAGTCCCCCAAAGAAACTCAGTTTGAATTAATAGGCAAACTTCGAGATGGGATCTGAGTACCCATATGAAGAGTACAGAGAGTTAAGGTGGATTCCTCCAATGCTAACTTCACTCTCTGGAGTCATTTTCAAAGGGGGTCCTCCAACTGGGTTTCAGGATTGTGGGAGCTTTTGTCTTATCTTCTGGCCTAGGGTGGCCACACAGTCTGCTTCCTCATCAGCACCACCCAACCTTTCTATGTCTCTGAGATTTTCATATGTCTGAAAACTATACTGTGACTTCAGTGTTTTCCATCATGTCTTTCCCATAGACTCACTTGTTTTCTTTATTTTTCTCAAGCTGGCCATCAAAAATTCACTTCTAATATGCCATCCTTGTAAGATGGCTCCTTCCTTTTTTCTTATCTGTGATTTCTGCCATGAACACATGCAGAAATATTAATAAACATTTAGTGGTAATAAAATAGTTCTTGGGAAGAGCAAGTTTACCCATATTTTACACATAATAATTTTTTATATCTTATTTGTACCTGTGTATTGATATATTCCACAGCACTTAAGTAAAGACAGCTTTTAATAGAAACTGTAGATTTATTATGAAACCATATTATTATATACGTACAGTTTTATTATACAGAAATAATTAGACACTGCCATTTTAGTTGAATTTTCCTGAAGATCAGATAACAAATGTCATTCACTAATTCAAGTTTTCCTTTCTTTTAAGAACATTTTTCTTTAAAATATTTAATAATGACTGCAGTCATGAGAGAAGGAAAACATGAATAGAAAAGCAAAGAGCTTGGCTCTGTGAAGTCAAGAAAAGTGAAACATAGAAATGAGAAAATAACTATGAGCTTTATAAAAGTGGTGTGTATTTTCACTTTGGAAAATTTTGGACAGCAAGGTCACATATATCACCTCTCATTTTTAATTAAACTTATTTAAATTATCACAATTATTAAATATAAGTAAAGTTGAACTCCTCAACTTTATTATCTTTACCCACTCATTCACCAAACACACATTGGCTCTATTTACATAACACACTTACTTTTACTGCCTATAAATGCCACTCATCCTTAAGATGTCCATGTTTTCCTGCCCTGTGTAGAAATTCTAAAGTTGGGCTCAATGTCAGTTGAACTATTGCCTCTTTTATTTCAAATAACAATATTTCACAAGTTAGGAAATTGTAAAGAGCAGCCATCTTGAAAAGTTATAGTAGTATCAGATACTCATATTAATTACCCATTGAAACATACTATTTCTGCACATTGTGTAAATCTCAATATTGAATAAAATGATCCATATTTTATCATCTGAGCCCTGATTTTTCTTTTGCTGAAGATTATATAAATCAAGAGTTATATTTTGTATATAATTTTATCACACTCCCTTTACCTACCCAACTTTTCAGATCTTAAATTTATTTAAATATTATGACTAGAATTCCCAAAATCATTTAGAATATACATGTGTGATTTAACATGGGAACATGGGTTGTCACGCCCATCTGCTGTGTAAAATCTAAAAACTTCTGTCAAAGCTTAATATGTCATGAGCTAGAAGTAGCATTCTAATGCAGAGTGGTCAGAGTGTATGAAGAGGATCACAAGCCAGGCACAGCGTGATCACCTTCAGTCCCAGGTATCAGTTGCCTAAAGTGGGAGAATTGCATGTTTAAAGCTTTTGAGACACATGGTGAATTCATGACCAGCCTGAGCTCTTTAGCAAGACCATGTCCCAAAATGAAAACAATAACAAAACATCTTAATACTGAGAAATTTTGTGGTGGAAACACAGCTAAATGCTCTGAGTATTCTTGTTGAATAATCCCAGTATGCCCTGTGAGATGAGTATATTTTGATCACCAAATAATGATTGAGGGATTTAGGTGTGGAGATGAAATAATGGGTAGCTGAAAAATATTGTCCACATGTCAGAAGAAAATTGTTTACTGATGTAATAATGTTTACAGTTACATGAATAATTGTGTCTTTGACTTAGTCTTATATAAATTCTTAAAAATCCTCATTTCTACAGATCACCTATGCATTATGCTTGTGCATATGGCCATCCTGATATAGTGACCATCCTACTACGCTGGAATTGCGACATTGAGCTCCGTGACAGTTACAAAAGCACAACACTAATTCATAGAAGAGAAGACCTGGGATCTGGGGTGCGTGGCTCCCGTTGGGATGGGAAGCTCTGTGGCAGTCCCCAGGCAATCCTTTGGCACTGGAATACTGATCTGGATGCAGGGCCTCTTTTACCTGGTCCCGCTGTTTCTGCAGGTCCCACATTTCCCCTGGACCTGCTGGTCCTGCTGGTCTCATTGGTGGAAGACAAGACCTAGGATATGGTGTACTTGGCTACTGCCAGGATGGAAGGCTCTCTGGGGATTCCCAGGCACTGTGAGGCAGGCCTGGATGTGGGGGGCCTTGTTTACCTGGACTGCCTAGTTCCCTGGTTTCACTGGTGGAAAAAGAAGACCTGGGATCTGGAGTGCTTGGCTCCTGCTGGGATGAGAAGCTCTGTGGCCTTCTCTACGATTTTTTAATCAATGAATTATTTTGCATTCCTATCCCAGCTGTACCTTCCTATTCTGTCTCCACTACCTGCTTCTCCCATCTACTCCATGAAAACAGTAAGGCATCATATATTACATCTACTAAGTTTGTTCTGCCATCTAGTTGAGGTGGGACCAAAGCATCTCTCCATCACCTTCCCTTGTGCCTAGGCTAGTCATGCTATCTCTCTATATAGAATGGGCTCAACTAAGTTAGTTTGTGCATTAATGTTAGTTCTTGGACACTCTGCCAGTGGCTTCCTAGGTTGTCACTGTCAAACATTTATCACTTATGTTTAGGGAGTCTAGTTTGGTCTTGTGCAGGTTACCCATTTGTCAGACTTGTGGCAGTGATCTCTCACTAGCTCAGGCCTGCTAAATCTGTTGGTTTCCCCATAATGGTCTTGAATCCTTTGTTCATATTATCACTCTTCCCTACTTTAATTGTACTCCAGCTCTATGGCCCATTCGTTAGTTTGGATTTCTTCATCTGCTTCCATTAGTTTCTGAAAAAGGGTTCGTGCTTTTCTCAGCTAGTAGATTGTAGGATGTGTATATTTTACTTTATTTCTGATATCCAGAAATATAGTGTGAGTGAGCACATACTATATTTGTCCTCATTTATTGGTAGCTCACTTAGGATGTGTTATTCTAGTTCTGCACATTAGCCTATGAATTTTAGGATGCCCTCATTTATTGCTTCTGAGAGGTATATCATTTTGTACATATACCACATTTTATTTATCCATTCTACAGTTGAGAGGCATATTGGCTGTTTCTAAGTTCTGGCTGTTAGAAATAATGTAGCTATTAGAATAGTTAAGCCTACTTTGTGTACATGCTCAACAGTGGTATTGCAGGGTCTTGAGGTAGGGTGATCCCTAATTTTCTGAGGCCTCACCATACTGATTTACACAGCAGCTGCAGAAGTTTTCCTTCCCTCCATCAATGAAGGAGTGTTCCCCTTTATCCATATCATCTCCAGCATAAACATTTATTGGTGTTTCTTTATTTTAGCCATTCTGATTGTTGTAAGATGGAATCTCAGAATGGTTTTGATTTGCATTTCCCTGATGATTAAGGATGTTGAGCATTTCCTATAGAGTCTTCCTTCCATTTGAGGTTGTTGTCCTGAGAATTCTCTATCTAGATCTGTACACAATTTTTTACTGGATTATTTCATAGTTTGATTTCTAGTTTCTTTTGTTCTTTGTATATTTTGGAGATCACACCTCTTTCAGATGTGTGGGTGTTTAAAATATTTTCACACTCTACCCTGTACTGTTTTGTATTGTTGACCATATCCTTTACTATACAGAAGATATAAATTCTCAGGAGGTCCCATTTATTGATAGTTGCTCACATAATTTAGTCTACTAGTGTTCTATTTAGTAAGTTGTCTCCTGTGCCTTTGTAATCAAATGCATTTCCCACTTTCTCTTCTATGAGGTTCAGTGTGGATGGATTTATATTGAGGTATTTGATCCATTTGGACATAGGTTTTGTGCATGGCTATGGCTATGGATCTATTTGCATCCTTCTAAATATTATAGAAAGTTATACCAGCACCATTTGTTGAATATATTTTCTTTTTTCCATTTTATATTTTTAGCATCTTTGTCAAAAATTAGGTGTTCATATGTATGTATGTTGATATCAGCATCTTTGATTTGATTCCATTGATACAACTGTCTGTTTTTATGCAAATACCAATCTGTTTTAATTAGTACAGCTCTATAGAAGACAGTGTCTCACATCATTGGTCTTATTAGTTAGGGTCACAGGTGCTCCAGTTTCCTTCCTACCTTGGAACTGAGACTATGAAACTTCTGCTCTGACCTTGCTGTCCCAGACACAGGCCCTTCCCAACACTCACCAAACCCTGATTAACTAACCCCCTCCTATGGGACAAGGCAACATACTCCATTCAGTGTCTCACATTCCTCTCATTGGTTACCCATCCACCTCTTCCCTTTTCCTTCCCATCCAGGACAAAGGTCCAGTAAAAACTTCCTCCTCCTTACCTACCTTCCTTTATTTTTACCTTCCACATACCACCCAGTCCTGTCTTTACATGGTTCTTTCTTGTCCCTCTCTACACAATGAGCTATAGTTAACCTTCTATCTCCAGTAAGATCCATGGTCCTAGCCACACATTTCATTTCTCAGTAAGCACCAGATATTAGAAATATATTTAAAAAGACTGAAGAGAGGTCTGCAAACTCCCCTATACTTATTACTGAAATTGGAGGTTGAGTTTACAATGTGCAAGAAGGAACAGCTGATTCCTCCAAATAGATGAGGCTACAGCCACAGGGTCATGCTTTAAGCCTTAGCAGTTACCCTGATGCCACAAGTAGTACAAGGAAATTTGATGACCAAAAGGATCCACTCTGCTGGAGCTGAACACAAGTCATCTCCACCAGGAGACTGCTACAAATTCTGGCAGGATGGACATTTGGTAAGATATTGGCTGGACCCTCAGCCATCAAAAAGTACACTGGAATTCAGAATGCCCCATTTGGACTCATCCTCTATGCTACACCACAGAGGTCTGTGTCACCAACAATGGCAGCTAAGACCCTGGTAATGTACAAACTACTCATCCTTGTAGTGTAGTTATGGAGCCTAGACTTGGTGACTCCCATTGACATCTCCGAGCCTAGTGTGAAACTAGAAGTAGCAGGTGAGTCCCCAACTTTTCTTTTGACATGAAAGCAAACTATTCTGTTTTGAAAAGAGTCCCAGACACCATTTTTACCCAACACATTTTTAGCATATCATGCAGGTTCACTACTTCTGCCTAGGTCAAGACCAACACACAGAGTATCCTGCAGATATTGCAAACATCTGCCATCAGATCTCTGTAGGATCAAGTGTTCACCTCTTCAGGATAGTTGGACTGTCCAGCAACTGGGACCCACCATTCTCTGGATTTCCAAGATCTCCCTATGTAGGACAAGTATTCTCACCTGTCCTAATAATTCACCATTGCCTATTCTGTACTGCCAGGAGATTTCTCCATTCCTTTCATTCTGGTAGTTATTAGAATTCCCATGGCTAGGCCTATTCAAAGGGTCAATGATAACAATCAATTTTTCCTCCTGAAAACCTACCTTCTCTGCCACCTCAAGGAATATTTGCCTGAGATCTCCAGGATGGCATGTAGTAGAATGTTTCTTCACTCATACAACTGAGCATGAGCCCACTCACTCCTGACTCCCCTACTCCTACATCATCCCTTTTCATCAGGAAATGGCCATACATGAACACACACACACACACACACACACACACACACACACACACATATATATATATATATATATATATATATATATATATATATATATATACTCAAAGAGTCTGGGAAGTTATTATGGAAGTTTCAAACAAGCCCACTCTCCAAACCCAGCTGAATCTCAGAATGTCCACCAAATGATTACCACTCAGACAATAATATGTCATCCATATAATGATATACTAACAAATGTGGAAATTATTTACGAATTATTTCTAGAGGTTTATTCACAAAATATTGACACAAAGTTGGACTGTTTAACATACCTTGAGGTAGTACCTTCCACTGGAATCTCTGTACCGGACAGGAATTATTATAGGTAGGTACCGTGAAGGCGAACTTTTCTCTGTCGTTTTCTTGTAACGGTATTGTGAAGAAACAATTACCTTGTTGATGGCTCTAAGATCAGTAACCATTCTCCACTTACCAGACTTCTTCTTGACAACAAAAACAGGTGAATTCATTGCACTAGTTGATTCCTCAATATGTCCAGCATCTAGCCGTTCCTGAACTAACTTCTCCAAAGCCTCTAACTTCTCAGATGTCATAGGCCATTGACCCACCCAGACAGGTTCATCTGTCAGCCATTTTAATGGTAGAGCTTTTGGTTGCTCTGTAGGTTTGGCACTAGCATCTTGCGTCTGTATAGCCTGTACATTTGGCATCTGTTTTCTGTACTGTCTTACCATATCCTTTCTACCACTAAGAGCTTATCTGTAATTGTGTGGATCATGAATTTCCACACAAAATAACAAAAGCTTTAAAGGAATTTTAGAAACAGAAGAACAGAGAGAAGCACAGATTTTTGGTAGCAGCATTTTTCTCAGGTGTGCTCTGTTTTGCTAGCAACGAGCCGAGATTCTCATGGCTCGCTTATTGGAGTATTCCTGACTTGGCATTAAAAAAAAACACCAAAGTTGTTTTAAGAGACACTGCTGAAGATTGAAAGGTGTGTACGTACAGCTGGAAGTGGCAGCTTTTGCTGGATGTCAGCATGGACTGAGGCGGTAAACTGGAATCACGCTTTCGCCCGCCATCTTGCAACGGCAGTTTAAAACAGCCACGGTTTTACAGATAAGACACATGGCCAGAAAAACATAAAGATTTACAGTAAAGTCAGACTTGGATAAAGAAAATCTCTAAGGGTTTACAGTGTGTTTAAAAATATACGTGAGATTGAGAGAAAAAATGAAATGGCAAAGTGGGAAATAGAAAAGCCCGGCTTTGTGGTGGCGCACGCTGGTAGGATTTACTTCAGAGGCAGAGGCAGGCGGATTTCCAA